AAATTGTTTAATATAAATTTTTGGGTCATTATACTAAAACAAAAAAAAATCTATTTGATAATATATTTTTTTAGAAAGTGTTTTGAGGAGCAAAAAAAAATCAAATATCATTCTAGAGAATAAAAAAATGAAAACTTCTTTTAACTGTTCTAAAATTATTATTCTAAAGAATAAAGGACAATGTAAAAAAAAACACTTATTTTTTTTTTAGAACGTGTTCTACAAGATACTAATCATCAAAATAGTAAAACAAAAGCAATGTCAAACAAGCCTTATATTTTTTTTATTTAACATAATATTGATAATTTATCAATATTGAAGGAACAAGTTATAAAAAAAGTAGAATAAGTTGGGTTTTAAACAAATTGGCAACTTTTTTTATCTATAAACAAGTCATATAAGAATATTTATAAGTGAATGTTTGAACATTAATAACAAAATGTCCTTGATTAACAAAAGTTCATGAAAATGCTTGAAAAATAAATTTATAATATAAATTTTTTTTATTTAGCATAATATATATAACTTGTCGATATTGAAGGAACATGTTATAAAAAATAGAATAATGTCAATTTTAAAAAATTAACAACCTTTTTTTATGTATAAATAAGTGATGTTTAAATATTTATAAATAATTGTTCAAATATATAAAACAAGATGTCCATAATATGCCATAATATATAAAAGGGCTCATGGTTATTTTTGCCTCTTAATTTTACTCAAAAGGTTATTAGGGACTTTAAACTCAACAATGGGTTAATTAAGTTATTTAACTTTAAAGAGTTCCTTTCGCACCGTTAGCTGACTGTTAGTGGGCTCTATACTATATTTCTTAATTTTTTTTATTATACAATATTTGAGTTGAGCGTGCTTACTGACCATTTGGACAAAAGTTGAGGGACAAAAATAATACTTAATCCAATAAAATTTTTTTAAAAATAGTGGGACCCAATAATAAATAATAGACATTAAAGTGTTTTTAACATTAGGTGATAAGGACGAAAATCTTTAACAGTGAGCAATAAAATTAATTCATGGTTGAGTTTATGGTCCTTAATGACCTTTCGAGTAAAGTTGATGAGAAAAAAGGAACTTTAACCTTAAATAAAAATACTTAGAAGTCAAAGTTATATTATATATGTATGTATGTATGTATGTATGTATGTATGTATAATTTTACACTATATATATTAAAGTGTTTGTTGGCTTATGATTTCTTTTATTTTTGGGAGCTGAGGGGTCAAATGGTTCAAATCCCTCCAATCTCTTGGCACATTTGATTAATGGTTAATCATCGCGCTAGTAGCCGTAGTTCAACAGTAGTGGTGGTAGATGGTACCCAAGCTCTAGTGGCGGTAGATGGTACCTAAGCTCTAGTAGTGTCACACCCTGAAAATAGAGGGTGATCGGCATAGGTGTAAATTACATTGTGCATTCCCATAAGCCTTAACATGAAAATTCAATCTGTTTTTTGAAAAAAAATAATCATATTATATAGAAATTATAATGCTTTTACTATTAACTGTCATAAGAAGACTTTAATGTTTTTGTAAAAATTTTGGCAGAACTTCCCCTATAAATAGGATCTCTCGAAAATTCTACAACAATTTTTATAAAATATAGTATCAATCAGGAGGTTAGCTCCTTCTAGCTAGCCACAATATATATATATATATATATAGATAGATCAAAATAAAATACTAATAACATTTATGTGGAGCACTAATCTTTCTTTTAAATCAAAATACATATGACTTATATATTTACATCAAAAGCAACAGTACCAACCAAAATTTTCACCCAATATAGTTACATTGCCCTTCAAAGGTCGATGGTGGGATCAGTGTTAGCTAACAAATCTAAGGTCAAAATAAGTTTTTCAGTGAATAGCATTCCCAAAGTAAAATTTTAAAATTTAAATTAACAAACTCTAATAATGGTATAAACTAAATAAAAATAATTCAACAAAATAAATTTCTAAATTTGTAAGTCGTAATCATAATCGTAAAATGAAAGTAAGTTGGAAGCAATTTATTTTTATCATGCTTAAGGAAAACCATTTATTCACACATAAATCAGAGTGATATATTTGCTAGCCAAAATCATGTAAATTTTGAAAACAGATATTAGTCCATATTTAGAATTTTGAGAACTTAATAGAATAAGTAACAAATGTGGATAGACAGTCCACGAGAGTAAATAACCAAACACGGCTTATGCCACAAAAACAAACGTGGACATACAATCTATGAGGATAAGTAACTAAACATAGCCGAAGCTATGAAAGCAAATGTGGACACACTATCTACAATGGTAATACTAACCAAACGCGGCCAAAGTTATGAAATCAAACGCGGGTATAAAACCCACAAATAACAAACGTGAGAATAAAGCTCACGAAACAAACTAGCTAGTTATTAACCATAGCGCGCTACAAGTTAACGGAACTGCCATTAGCAATAGTATTCTGTTTAGAATCCTCTTAAAAATCAAATTTCAAACATACGAGAAGAATAATTACTTCTAAAATGCAATTTGCATTTTCAATATCAAATTTGCATGAATTATTTCAAAGTTCAAAGTAGCACTTGTCAAAAATAATATTTCATAAATAATGTATAAAATTGCATTAATTGAATAACTAAGAATTCTCAGAGATTTTAAAATAACTAAATTCATGATCTTCAAAATATATTTCTTGAGGAAACAAATATATCATCATCCAATTATTCATCATTAATATTCTAGAAGTTCTAAAGCCAACGTAATTCCTAAGATAAAATATTTCAATAAAAATTTATTGAAAATGAAAATAAAAATAAGTTAAAGGGATGCTATTCACTTACATGTCGAAGTTTTAAATTCTCAAAGATATCCTTCCTTTAATTCTGGTCAGGGTCCCATTCTTTCTCACACCCTATCAAGATATAGATAAATAAATAAAATTTTAACAGATTTCCAATCTTTAATAGAATTTCAATTAACCATTATTATCTAAAATTCAAAGCTAAATTTATGATTTAAAATTAGTCCAATTATTATTATTTATCTTTATGAATTCCTCCATAAAGCTTTAGTCATGCCATTCCATTTTTTTAAGGTAAAATTTCTATTAGGTATTTTATCAAACAACATACATGCATAATTTATCAAGTTAACATTAATATTTTCCCTCCTAAATTTCAACTTTATTGAAACCTTACAATATCACCAATTCAATCATTTCCAAATGGAATCCCAATCTACAATATCATCTTGCTTCCTTGCACAACCACAATATTCATTTAAATAGAAATTCCTCTTTTTCTATGCATGCACCTACAGTCACAGAAGAGATAAATTTCTGAAACTCCAATCCTCAACCCACATATATCATATATTATTACCAAGTTTAGATGAATTTCAAGCTTAAAGTTTCAACCTTCTTCTTTCTATAACAGCATAGACGATAGTAGAGCAAAAATAAAGTGCTGTAGCTCCACAAACATAGCAGCAACAACAACACACACTCACACGCACAGCCAATCCATAAATAAAAGGTCCAAGAATTCCTCACCTCAACTTGACTAGCCAAGACAGTGACGGATAACAGAGGAGGAAGGAGAAGGTCCTTACATACAGAACAGAGGATAGAGCCGATGTTGCACACGTTATGAGAAGGAGAAAAACAAAACTTGGAGCAGAACAAGGGATATACACCGATCACCACTCACCAAAAGGAAAATGACCAAATCAGCTGGGACAACCCAGTCCTTGATAGCAGATCAATGTCTCCAGTGACTTAGCTTCTCACTCTAACAATAGACCGAACTTGGACAATGCAAACAAAACAGTAGACGGAAAAAGGAGGAACATAGACAGCAAATGTGAAAGTGGACCTCTTGGACATTTTGGAGCTGCAGCATCCTCCACTTTTATAGGCGACCACTAAAAACGAGAAGAGGAATGGAGGCACAGAAAAATGGAGAGACGAAGTGCACCAACCTTCCAGACTTCTCTACCTCTTTCTCATACTCTGTAAAACCAACTTAGATAAGAGAGAGAAGAAAGAAAATATATTTGATGGAGGAAGGATATTCTGGTAATTTTAGAGGAGCTAAGCAAAATAAAAATCCCATTTCTTGCACTGGAGATTTGAACTTGGGACCTTCAAATGACTTAGCATGCAAACTTCCACTCTATTAATATTTCATATTGTTATAATTATCCCAAACATAAATAAAATATATCCTTAACAAGTTATTATATGTTAAATATATATATACATATATTTAAGGTTATTACAAGTGGCTAGATTTAAGATACTTTATTTTAGAAAAGGCAATAATATTTTGGTAATTGGACCAAAAAATTAATTGTACTTGAGGCTTTTAAGCTTGTATAAATGTTTTCGAATTTTTGGGGCATCCCATATGATTATTACTATTTTTTTTAGGGCATTAGTTGAGATTCGTCCATTATTTAATTTTTTTAAGATGAGAGTCCATAAGGATTCATTCCTAATGTTGTTGCCCTCTTTGTGATCTTACAATCAATGTTATGAAAACCGGACTGGCCTTTAAACCGATTGAGATACTGATTTGCGATTCAATGGTCAGACTGCGGTTTGAACCGCAGTCCCACCGGTCATAAATAAATTAATATATTTTAAATATTATATATTTAAAATAGAAATATATAATCATATATAGTAATAAAAATGAATATTTAAATTTTAAACAAAATAATATACAATAAAAAATATAACATCCATCAATATTACATCATTTTCATCCAAAACATATATAAGTATTTCATAATTCATAAGTTTAAAATATATACACATATACATAATTTATATATATTTCATACATTTTTTTATTACATAATACTTATTAGGTATAAATATGTATAAATTATAATTTAAAAATATGAATTAAAAATAAAAAATTTAAAAATAATGTAATCAGTTCAACTGATTCTTGTTTGATTTTGGCCGATTCTATCAGTTTGTGGCCGATTATACTGATTCGTGGCCCGCTTCTTGAAATTTTTGATTTTTTATGATGACCGAATCAGACTTGGATCGGTTCTCGGTTGAATCGATTGGATCGGCCGATGCGATCCTGTTCTAATAACACTGCTTACAACTGAAAACAGAACTTGTTCGAAGAAGAAGCCGTTCCTCATTCGCAACCTCTGGTAGATTACGAATAGACCCAACACGCGGGAAGACGAGAGAAGAGCCTCATTCTACTTTCTAGTAGCTTTCTTGAAATGGAAGAGTTGAGAGACAGCATTCGAATTCAAGAATTTAAAGTTTGTTGAATGCTATTTTGTTTCTTCCATTCTCGATCAAACAAGTGGCATTTTAGGAATTGGGAGCTGAAACAGTGCTAAGATGAATCAGGTCAAGCTGAGTTGGTATGGTTTATCCAAAATTATCAGCTCCCGTGGGTCTGGGGTTAAAGATTTGTCCGGAAATGTTGTAGGGAAGTTGAAGCCTTATGGATTATCGAGAATGGGTTTACTTGGGCTCGAACAGAACGCCATGATTGTGACTCGACGATTTGGGGGCAACATTAGGAATGAAAATGATATTGATCATCAGTTGACTAGGGATTTCTTGGCGAAGGTCTGGGTTGCTGATAGGAAAGGCAAAAATTCCCTGCGCAAGAAGAGAAGTAAAATCATTAAATATATGAGTGATGGTGAGCAATTGGTTCTTAAAAATCCTAGGTGGTTTTCGCGTTCATCTGATAGTATGGAAGAGGGCAAACCTGTCTTGAAGCAACCTCCCCTCAGTCAATCTGTCTCAGATTTCTTGGATCCAGAGAGTCCAGAAGAGGTGAATTTCTGTTATATAATGGGTTGCTCGAATGCAAGTGTAGGTGAACTAAGCTCATATTTGCACTGACTTTGGCAATCTGATGCAATTTTTTGGTGGTGCATTTCTTTTTACCCCCTTCAGTTTTTTTTTTTTAAATTAATAAATAGGAGGTGTAGAAGATGGAGAAGGATGTGTATAGTGTGCTAAATAATAATAACAATGAGATCCACTGCCAAGGAAATGCACCTGATCCATTCCCAAATATTAGTGTGCTACCATGGTTTTCTATCTACAAAGACAAGAAAATAATAGCGTTGCTTTGTTTCCTGATAATCACTGTGCATTATTCTCTGACAATACATAAGTACTGTCAAATTGTCATCTACCATAGTGTAAGTCAAGCATTCTTATTCTTAAAGCGTTGCATGGCTAGATATAATAAATATATGATGATTGGCATATAAACATCTGTGATGGTCCTTAATTTAGGAGAGATAATCTCTCTCTCTTTCTCTCTCTCTGGACCAGGATTGGTGATTTATCTTGCTCCTTAATATTTCAAGTTCACCGGGGTGTACAGCATCAGTGCTTGTTCTTAGTTAGGAGACAATTTCTTATAGTTAGCAATGTTGATTACCCACCTTTCTGGATTTTGTTACTATTACTCCCATGCTTTGGTTATGATTCTGTTTTAAATATCGTGGGTGTAGGGGCCTCTAGTTGCCTAATATTTTCTGTTTCAACAAGTGCTGCTGACTTTCTGAAACTAGCCAACTAACTTGTTTATAAGCTGAATATTATGCTTTTTTGTTCACCTCTTCTCTTTTCTATGCGGTAGTTGATCTTTGAAATTTGTTTGGCAATTATTTTCTTGCTAAGTCAAAATATTTAAAGATACATTGGGCTGCAATTCAGAAGTTAATGAATATTCAAATGTTTTTAAATTCTTGTTTTTTTTTTCCTCCCCCACCTAATCTTGACTTGTAATGCTTGTTTTATCTTAAATACAATAATGTCCTAAATTTGATGCCTTATATCAAGGCTTTTTAATATGTTGCATTTACAGTGAGCTCAACCTTCAGGTTCATGATTTTGTAGATAGACAAGAAATTTGGTCACCCATCAATGCTGTGGCATGTCTATTCGTAATTACAGTAAGATGATGGTGGTTATTGATTGCCTTGCTTTAAGCCATAACTTGCAATCACGCTAATCACTAGAAAAAAAGATAAATATACATGGCTGTTTGGGGGAGACATTAACAAGTCTTATCCCATTAGGTGTGGTCAGTTATATGAATTGCATGACGTCATTGTGATCTATCATTAATCAAGTCTTTAGAAATAATGTTAACTAGGACGTCTCGTTCGACAACTTTCATTAGTGTTTTTTTTTTTTTTTTTTTTTTGTCTTCCTCTACCTTTCTTTAGAAGGCTCAAGACGATCTAATCCATTCTTTTTACCGGTGCCTCCTCCAGCCTTCTTTGCACATATTCAAATTATCTCAAATGTTTTTCTACCATATTCTCCTCAGTAGATGCCATGTTTACTTTTTCTCATATTTGCTCATTATGAATTTTATCTTTTCATGTATGTTTGCACATTCATCTCAACATTGCATCTTTACTACTCTTATTTTATGCTCTTTTCATTATGGTAGATCTATATTGTATGATAATAGTAATGTTTCTTTAAGTTTTATGTTTAGGGAGGCAAATTGTTGTGCCCATCTGTTAGCTAGCTTAGCTTCTTATATCATTGGGTTTTTTTGTTCTTTTGATCAATCTCCACCTCTTTGTAAGGAGGTAGTTGATGATGATAAGAGAGGATTAGTAACTGTGTATTGAGACTGCCATTTTGGTTTATGCATATATTTCTATTAAAAAAAAAATTCCAACATTTATTACCATATAACATGACTAGTTTTATAATAGTTTGATAAAATTTCTCTTTAAATTTATTGGGCACCTTTGATCGCAAATAACTCTTTTAATTCTCCATTTAAACCATCTAGCATGTATTCTATGTGCAGCATCCCTATCGATTTCACTATTATTTTGAATAATTGCTTTCAAATATCTAAATCTTTTTACTTAAAATATGATTTAACCTCCCCGTCTTACTTTCAAATTACTATTGATTGACCTCTTATCAAAATTGCAATGAATATATTCCGTTTTAATTCTATTCAGACGAAAACTGTTCGACTCTGTGGTCTTCCATAACTCAAGTTTGGAGTTTTCTTCTCTTGACTTCATAATAAGAACTATATCATCAGCAAAAAGCATAAAATTAGGGATTTCTCTTTGAATATGCTTAGTTAAAATATTTAAAAATAGGTCAAACAGTAAGGGCTCAAAAATAATCCTTGATAAAGGTCAATCTTTATAGAAAAGTCCTTTGTCTCACCAATAGATGTTTTTATACTAGTTGCTACCCTATCATGTATATCTTGTATTGCTATACTTGAACTCTTTTCTTTTTCAAAGCTTTCCAAAGTATTTCTCTTGATACACGATTGTAAGCTTTTTCCAAATCAATGAAAATCATGTGTAAGTCTCTACCTTTGCCTTGGTACTTCTCCATCAATCCTCTTAGTAGATATTTTTTTTTTTTTTTTTTTGTTTTTGTTTGTAGTAGCCCTTCCTAGCATGAAACCAAATTGGTTATTTGAAATACTAGTCTTTAACCTCAACCTATATTCAACCACTCTTTCTCACAATTACATTATATGACTTGTAAGCTTAATTCCTCCATAATTAGCACAATTATGAATATCTCCTTTATTCTTGTAAATAGAAACTAAGGAGCTTTTCCTCCATTCATTAGGTATTTTGTTGGATCGTAAGATCTTATGAAATAGCTTAGTTAGCCACAACACTCCTTCTTCACATTTTCACACTTCAATAGGAATACTATTAGGTCTAGCGGCTCTATATTTTTCATTTTCTTAAGAGCTTACTTAACCTTGTTGTTGCGAATCCTTCGATAAAACATCAAATTTTGTTCTCTTTCTTGAGTTACTAAATCCTTCAAATCACTAGATAAGCCCCCTCCGTCATTGAAAAGCTTGTAAAAGTAGGCTTCCATTCGTAACCAAAACTTTTCCTTCATCTTTTATTCATCATACTTGTTCCAAATCTCTTGATTTTATTTTCCTGTTCTTTGCAATCTTATAAATTTTTCATTCTCTATTCTTTGTCTCTAGGCCCTTGTAAAACTCTTCAAATGCTTTAAAATGTGTTTCATTCATTGCTTTCTTAGTTTCTTTCTCAGCCATATGATAACTTTTCCCAATTTTCAGCATTATTGCACAAATGTATTGGCTTTAAAACACTCTTTTTTATGTCTGACTTTCTCCTGTATGTTCTCATTCCACCACTAAGGCTCCTTATCTCATGGTCCAAAACCTTTTGATTCTCTCAAAATTGCTTTAGCAACCTTCCTTACCTTCTTGTCCATATTCTCCCACAAGATGCTGGCACTTCTTTGACTCCCAAATTCCTTCGTCCAAAAGTTCCAGTTGAAAATTTCCTGCTTCTCACTCTTTAATTGCCATAACCTAATCCTTGGGTTTAATGTTTGTCAGCACTTTTTATTGTTACTCTTAATACGCACATCAAGGAATATCACTTTTAATGATTAATTGGAGCTGGCTGGTAAATTAACTGCTGGTAGTGCATCCTGAATAGTATTATACTTAACATGATTGTTGTGACAGTATAACCTTTATTTTGAGTTTGGATTTGTTATATTCATGTTGTAATTGATGTTGATTCATTGCAAGCAATTCTGAAAGTCTACTGTTACTTCTAACATGGAGATGTTCTACTTACCTTGTCATCTTTTCAGGCCAAGGTAGCACGTCTGCTTGCTAGGTCCAACTTGCTTATCACTAGAGATATTGAGTGGGCAAATCTTGCTTTTGGCTTTGAACAGGTATTCCTCTTTAACTATTCTTTGATGGTGTGGTGTGTTTACATTTGCCTGTAAACCCCCAGTTTCTCATGTTGATTCTGATACTGTCTGGGAAGTCATATTTCAGATATAACCAAAAATAACAAATTAAGGAATGTAGTAGAAGTATCTAGATTGAGGAACTTGATGAATATATCTCTGGTTAGTTCCTATTCTCACTGAAATAATTTGTTTGCTAAACAATCTTCTATTTGTTCCTGCTTGCTGTTAAAGGCTGGCCTGAATAACACAGCTGTTATGCATGAAAAAGACACATGCAACGATTTTTTATTTTTTGTTTTTGCTGTAGTCACCTTTCTCTTTCATATTTTATATTTGTCAAGTTTTCAATAGTCCTTTTTGATTTGTTGTAATTATTTTATTCTATTTAAAATTTAAGAAATCTAGAGCGCTAACTAAAAGCTCAGCTGCATAGAAAATTTGCATTACTTTTATATTATCCAGTATGAGTGCTTAGTTTACTACAAAGATAGCAGAGTTTTGTGGAAACACTCGGTTTTTGTTTTGCTCTGTTGCATTTGGTTGGAGTGGATTGCCAGAATTTTTAAAGGTATTTTGGTGACTCTAAATAGCTCATGGGAAATGATATTCTGTCTTGCTTCCCTCTGGTGTTGTGATTTCAGGTTTTTGAAAGGAATTTCTTTGACTGACATGTTTTGAGGTTGGATGTATTTTCATTTTGTTATTTGGGTGAAATGGGGCAGCCAAGCACGATATGGATGCTGAATTGATGGTGGTGATAAATTGGGCTTGACTTCCTTTGGGCCTATACAAAATTCATTGTGTATTAGAGCAAAGGAAAGGCCTTATCATTGCAAGATTTGGGAATCATACAAAAATATTAGTGAACTAATAAAAATGAGTGAACTGATTGTATTTGGTTAGAGAATGATGAAAAAGCTCTTTTGGTGGAATTCTGAATGTATTTAGAATTTGTTATTATCTAGAGTCTAAGTTTATTATTATTTATGATTCTTAATTCACTTTTTAATTGCTCATGAATAAAGAAAATACAACTTCAAATAGAAAGGAATTCATAATGAGTGAACTAATAAAAATGAAAAAGCAACCTACGATAATAGTGGTCTCTAGAACTTCAAAGTAGTTTGATCTCTAGGATTTTCTGAGTCTGGTCTCTTCCAATTGTGTTTTGTAGGGTCCACTAAACATGGCCATGTAGTGTTGGAAGAGTGTTAAACATGGGTAGGATGCCCCATTACTTTATTTTGGGGGGGGGGGGAGATGTATCCTTCTCAGATAGAGCTAACCAAGTGTCCGACAACACAACCTGTGTTGTTGACAGGGCTGTATTTTTTTCTGCTTTCTTGTGCTACTTTGCTCATCCAAGTGTTAGGATACACCTTCTGTGGCAGTTCCTTTACTCATTAGTAATAATTAATAATATACAGATAGGGATTATTTACAATGTAAACTCCTAAATATAATGATAAAATGATAACTAAGAATCATAAATAATAATAAACTTAGACTCTAGATAATAATAAATTCTAAATACATTTGGAATTCCCCTAAAAGAACTTTCTCATCATTCTCTAACCAAATATCAATAACTACATAATCTTCATATTGCTATTAAACCTTCCCCTCCTTATTCCTACCAAAATCAGAAAATAATTGAAAAAAAAAAATTGCTCAAGAATTCAAGGGAACAACCAATGCTTTGGTATAATAAACTTGGGAGTGTATTTTGACTGAATTTGGAGGTTTTTATAGAAGAAAGGAGGGTAAAGTTTTGTAGCAAGGAGCTATATATGTTGTCCATTGCTGTATTTCGATGTGAAAAACTGAGAATGCTTGGACATCTGAGAGAACCTTGGTTTTTAGAGTTGATTTGAGACAGGATTGTCCTGTCAGCTCTTCTGTTGCTCGGCATTATTTTTCTTTCAGGGCATCTCCTTGACAGATATGCAATTTTATCAATCTTGTTATGCCCTTGTCTGTAATTACCTACAGATAATGGTTTGAATTTGACATTTATAGACTCTAATATTGAGGATCCATTGTTTGTTTTGGTTATGAATTGCTCCTGGAACCTTCGAGTGATTTTATTACTTTTGTTGCTTGTATTGTTTCATTTCTTTAGTCAATTGCTTTCAACTTGTTTTGAAATTTTGTTTGGTTGGATTGAAGGAAAATCGGTATGCAATCGTTGATGTGTGCTATCCCGAATCAGTAAGTTATTTGCTATCATTATACTTCTTATTTTCGTAATTATACCATCTATCAGTAATTTTGCATTGCATGACTCATCATAATCAAATCTGAATGTGCCTCTTACTGTTTGTTGTAATGTAGCCTGTAGGTTTTATTCGAGAACAGAGCAATGTAATTGCAAGACAGGTAATCAATTTAATTTCCTAATACACTCTGCATTTACGTACTTTTTTTTTTTTTGGCATACTCACTTTACATCCACATCGAGTTTTAAAAGTGAGGCTATTATTAACATTTAACTTAGTCTTAGGTGTCCAAGCACCACATCTGCCAATGGTCTCTTTCCCTTACCTGATTGAGTGATTTTAAGAAAATAAAATCTTTATCACCAAAGGGAGTAATGTAGAAGAAAGATGGTCAAGGAAAGAAACACTTTAAAAAGAAAAAAAGATTTCAAAACATTATCCACAATTAACAATGTTTCTGTCTAATTGTTTCATTTCATTAACTATTTCACTGAATCTCAGTTGCAGGAGCATTTCAGTTATTTTTCCTTAATACTCAAAACAATTTAAGTTAGCCATGGTTAAGTTCTGTACGAGGACTTGGATTTTATTTTAGTAGGCCATAATCATTGGATGACAATCACGTAAATATTTGGTTCTTATTCATTGGTCTGATATTTCATATTATGCAGTTTCTTCGTACAAGACGGCCTTTTGTTGCCTACATAACTGATGCTATGGGTAATGAGCTCTTTCGGGTAAGAACCACGTGCAGAATTTTATTTTGGTTCTTTCTGAGGCATGCATATTTTTTATCTCGTTGTTACTCATGAAATATTAGAATATCTGTCCTTAAATGATGAAATATTAGAATATCTGTCTTTAAATGATAACTTCCTTAGCTTAAGACTATGTTTCTCTCTAACTAGGTTCGTAGGCCCTTTTGGTGGATAACAAGCTCAATTTATGCAGAAATTAATGGTAAGGTATGCCATTTTGTTTAAATCTTCATTATTTTGAGGCTAGTCATAGAGTGTTTCAGCATTTTGGCTGTTAAGTTGTGCCAAATTCTCTCTTCAGGAAATTGGCGTAGTTCACAGGCGGTGGCATCTTTGGAGGAGAATCTATGATTTGTACCTTGGGTAATATCAACTATCCTGAGTGCCATAGTTATGATTACATAACAAAATCATGATACCATCTGTGCCATTTACTAGACTTTTCAATCTCAGAATTTTATTTGCATCTTTTGTTGTTCTCTCTCTCTCTCTCTCTCTCTCTCTCTCTCTCTCTCTCGGGATACAATGGAAAATAATATTTTGCTTTCTATCCAAGATATACATGCCCCAATTATGCTATCATGTGTATCTATTACCTGGAGTAGTGGGAAGGGGGAGCCATTTTTTTGTCATAGCTCTTGTTCATACAGTTCTGTATAACTCCTTTTCTGTTGATTGAAGCATATTCCAATTTTTTTTTTTTGAACAAAACTGAAGCATATTCCAATTGAAGTGAAATTTTTTAATGTTAATTCTTTGTTATTGGTCTTTGACAATTATTATTTTTTCTAAACATACAACACAATGAATGTTCAATGTGTGTTGTTAGGAATAATAATGATGGAATATGAGAACTTGTATCTTTTGAGAAAACCTACTAAAGAAGGAAAGTTATTTACTTTTATGTTATTTTACTTTTATATTTAATTTTATCTTGATATTCCTTCAGAATGAAGGAAGGATTAATTATGGGCTTCCATAATAGGCATCGTGCAGCTTATGCAAAGTTTTGGTTTTGACATGCTTTTGCTATTCTTCACCCTCTGCCTCAGTTCTTTCTTTTCCTTCCTCTTCATTATCTTCCTCACCTTCTTCATGTTCCTCCTCTTTCTATACTTCCTCGCATTTCTACATATTCCAACTTCTTTTGGTCTTACCTTTCCTTTCATTTCTCTGTCTACGTCCCCCTCCTATTTTTCTTCTCCCTTCATCTCTCTGTTTCAACATCTCTTCCTCATATTCCCTCAGTTTGCATCAGTCGCTCTTTGTATGGGGGGTGTGTGTGTGTGTTACATCAAATAAGAAGTTGTTTGTTTTTATTAGTTGGTTAACTATTGCTGTTGCTTTCAGGAGTTAGGCTTCTGTTAGTATTGTAACTGACTGTAAATCCCAGTCTTACTCTATTCTGATATAAGTATGAGCCAGTAGATTCAATGTCATGTTTGATCAAAGTCTCAAATTCAACAATTGCTTAGCTTCTGATTATCGTGTACAATGTAAGTCTAAAAAGTGGTTAAAATGGCAGGAATAAACAATTTGCTGCGGTTGAGAATCCTGGCTTTTGGAATTGGACATTCACCTTGAAAGATATTAATGGCGAAGTTCTAGCCAATATAGATCGTGATTGGAGGGGTTTTGGCTTTGAGGTTGGTTTCATACTTACGCTTCTGTTCTGACCTTTTACTTTGTAATTTTTGTTAAATATGTTTGGTAATCATCTGTTATCATTTATAAGAGGTTGGTTTCATACTTACCCTTCTGTTCTGACCTTTTACTTTGTAATTTTTGTTAAATATGTTTGGTAATCATCTGTTATCATTTATAATATTTTCTTCATTGTCAAAGTCATTTTAAGAAGATTTATAAAACTCTTTCAAAAACTGTTGCATGGTGTAAAAGAAAAGTATGCGTCCATGTTGTTGTCATACTGAACCCAAATAGAAAAGAACAAGAGAACCTGATGGAACCAGAATTAAAGTCACACTTAGATTGATGTGTGGTGGTAGAAAGAATGAGAAATGAGAGAGAGAGAGAGAAATAGTCAGAAGAATAGAGAACTAGAGAGAGGAGAGAGAGTGAGTTTCTTGAATAGTACTCTTAATTTTCATTAAGATTTCTAGGTTTCCACATCCTGACACACGCACACACACACGCACACACACACAGATGCTGTCCTGAATATTTACACTCTCCTATAATCCGCTAACTCTGACTCACTCACTAACTACTATTATTATTATTCTACAAATTACGCATCAACACCCTCCCTCAAAAACCCTTGACCTCAAGGTTTTGTTGCAATGAAGTCTGGATGCTGTTGCTGCAGCTGAAAAAGTGAAATCCAGCTGGCTTCTTCATTTGGAAGAGCTTTCCACTGCACCAAGACTTCCGTGATGATTCTCCCCTTTCTTTTGCCCATTCTCTTGTTCAAAATCTTTTATGGTACCAAATTTGGAGGAGTTTCAGATCAATCCAACAGTGAATGCCTCTATTTTTGGACTTCTAGTACACAAACATCTGAATTGAGGATGTCGTGCCCTTGTGGTCATGGTAGAGCACCAAGTGTGAAGCAAGAGAGATGTGGTGAATGTACGATGGTAGTCCCATTTAGTGCAAGTGCAAGATGTTGAATTGTGATATCCACCCTTAATTGGGAATCAAATATTATATCAAGTTAATTAGTATTAATTTGATGTCATCTAGTTTAATGAATTTTGACTAGAATTGGGAATTAGTTCTTGATGGAATCCAGATTGAGAAACTTATTGTCTCCCAGTTAATGGGGAATATCGTATCGAAATTATCCTCTCATAATGAGATGAATTTAGTACCACGATGCGATTTCCTAATCTGTGTCAGCCTCCCATGCTATAAATAGAGGTGATTGGCTATAGGAGAAACTCACCCCAGAGCTGAATACATTTCTCATATTCTCTCTTCTCTCTCTTTCTCTCTTGTTAGGTACATCTACTGTGCTCCATAAATAAGACTGTAGTAGTCTAATCACTAAGTGAGTTCTTGAGTCAAGTTCTCCACACTCTTTATCTGCTAATGATCTCTCTCAAGCTCCATTTATTTTAAGAATATTTATTTGTTCTGTCATTTCCTTCACTTTCTTTTGTGTCCTTTGAAATCTTCTGTTGTTGAACTTCTTTCTTCCAAGGACTTTGCCTAATTTCTTGACAAATATGGCAAGAGTTTCACCATCACTTTCTTTTTCTTCTTCAAAATCATCTCTTAATATAGTTGAAGATGTAGCCTTGAATGCTTGGGAGTTTTTCTCTGTCACTTTCCCCCTTTAGCATGACAAGCTTTCCTTCATGCTTTGTCAAGTTTTCAAATAAGTTAGCGGCAAAGCTCATTGAGGCTCTTCTAGTTTCTTTAGTGGCTATGATCTTTGGTTGTCATTCTACTAGTGGAGCTCTTGTAAGCTTTCTAAGTTGCTCTTTCTGTAGATAAGCCTTTTCAATTGCAAGCTAGTTGGGTCCTGATGAGTGTATACCTTATCTACATCTCTTTGATTGTTTCTCCTTCTTTCATCTTGATAGTTGATATTGTTCAACAAGTATGCTCATCTTATTTTCTTTCACACCTTCAATTCTTTCATGTGCAATTTTAGGAGCATCTCCATTTCTTTTGCAGTCTCTAAATTAGATATTCTAAAGTTCTCATCCTGGCATAAGGCACTGGCTATAATTAGATACTTTGATACCAAATGTAGGATCAAAACACGATCACTAGGCCAAAAGCTATAGCTGTTAGATTGAAATACCCTCCTTAGTTCTGGCAACCTCCATCCCTAGGAAATATCTCATACTTCCTATGTCTTTCATTTCAAACTCTCATGGCCAAGAGTTTCTGTAGATTGAAGATTCCTTCTTTATCATCACCTGTAATTGCTATGTCATCTACGTATACTATCAACACAATGAGTTTTCCATCAAGTGCATGTTTCATAAACAAGGTATCAACTGATTGACATTGATGAAATTCATTCCTCGTAATTACATAGGTAAATCTTTCAAACCAAGCACGTGGTGATTGTTTCAAGCCATGCAGTGCTTTCTTTTGTTTGCACACTTCTCCTTTAAGCTCACTTGACTCAAAGCCAAGAGTTATGTCCATGTAGACTTCCTCATCTAAATTGTCATTTAGAAAGGCCTTTTTTTACATCTAGCTAATGAAGTGGCCAATCAAGATTACAGACAAGAGACACAAGTACCTTAATAGTGCTGACTGCTGAGTTTGGCCATAGGTGCAAAGGTTTGTTGGCAGTCAATTCCATAAGTTTGAGTAAATCCCTTGGTTACCAATCTTTCTTTGTATTTCTTCAGACTTCCATCTAGGTTGTACCTCTTAGTGAGCACCCATCCACATCCAACTGTTGATCTCCCCTTTGGCAAGTCTGCAATTTCCCATGTACCGTTTTTCTTCAGTGCCTTCATTTCTTCTTGAATGGCATCTTTCCATTCTGGAATTTGAAGTGCTTCGTAAACACTCTTAGGAATTTGCTGAAGAGTCACATCAGTCACAAATGTTCTTAGGGCAGTTGATACTCTATCATAACAAATGTATTTACCAATAGGATGTCAAGTGCAAGATCTTAACCCCTTTATCAATGCTATCAGCATGCTAGGTCATCATCTGTTCTTGGATTTGAGGGTGAGTTTGATGGTTAGCTGTGAGTCTGTGTAGCTCCCAAGATTTCACCACTGTTTTGCACCTGATTTTCAATGCTTTGCTGCTGTTCCCTGTCTGTTTCTTTTGGAATGAGTCTAGTTTTAGTGATAGGGTGTTTCCGGTCTAGGTTCAGGGTTAGGTTCTTGTGAAGGAATTGTATCAGGTTTTCTAACTTGTCATTACTGGTCAGGGGCATTTTCAAGGTTTGCAGATATTCTTGTCACTGGTCAGAAGCATTCTCAAGATTTTCTGTAGTGTTTCCCCCCTAAATGGATGTTTTGGGGTGGGAAGGGACTGTTTCATGGAAGGTTACATCATATGTGGTGTAGAACTTTTTGGTGGGTGGATAATAGCATCTATAAACTTTTTTGTATAGGTGAATAACCGATAAAATGACACTTTAGTGCTTAGGGTCAAGTTCCCCCCATGGTAATAGTGCACAAAGGCAGTGCAGCCAAAAAATTTAAGGGTACATTGGTTTTGCCTTGGGTAAGAGGATATGATTCAAGGAGAACTTGATGAGGTGTTCTGAAATTTAGAGTCTGGATGGCGTTCTGTTGATCAAATAAGTAGCTGTAAGAATAGCTTCACTCCAATATTGGTTAGGGACATTGGTAGTGAAAAGGAGAGATCTGGTCATATGTAGGAGTTGTCTGTGATTTTGGTTAGATACACCGTTTGGTTGGTTATATGGTCATGAACTTTGATGTATCATACCATGGTGAGATTGGTATTTTTCCAGGTGAGTTGAGGAACTCTTTCCCATTATCAGACCTCAAAATTTCAATTTTGGCACCAAATTGGGTCTGTACAGTAGCATGAAAATGCTTAAAAACTTCAGAAACCTCAGATTTATCCTTCAACACATGAAGCCACGTAATACATGTATGGTCATCTACAAAAATAACAAACCTTCGTGCATCATTAAGGGTTTTAACCCTTGAGGGACGCCACACATCAATGTGAACAAATATAAAGGGTTTAGTTGGTTTATGTGCATGAGGATAAGATCTATAAATTTCACATTGAAAATCAAAATCTTTATTCAATAAAGTGGGATACAAAAGATATTTATGACTAGGATGTCACATCTATAATGTAGCAATTTTATTTCCTCACTAACTAAGACTGAAGTAAATACTTTCTTGATCCTTCCTTGAAAGTAGTAGAGACCATCCATCTCTTAACATCTGCCAATCATCTTCCTCATCCTCATATCTGGAAATAGACAATTAATATCCAAGAAATCATTGTGTCAGTGATTTTGTTTAATCATCTTGTGAACAAAAAGCAAGTTACAAGCAATCTTTGGTACAAATAAAACGTTCTTCAGAGTGATTTCAGGGGGTAGATATATTGTCCAGATGGGCTGACGCATGTAACATAACATTGATGGCAGAATCATCAGCAATTGTTAAATATTTGGAGTGACAGGGGAGATATTATGAAGTAGGGAGAAGTCACTAGTCATGTGATTTGTGGCTCAAGTCTACAACCTATAGATTTTTGCCTTGTTTAACACGGCTTAAAGCTATTGTGTACTTTGCTTCATGGTAAATACCTTATTGGGCCTTCAAACCTATAGTTGGACTCACTCTATTTGGTTTGTCAAGGGTGCTAAGAAGTTTCTGGATTTGCTCAAGTTGATCTTTAATATTAGCCACATCAACTGTAGGTCTTTTCATCATGTGATGCAAGTTGAGCCCTTCCTTCTCTTTTCTGCTGTTGTTTAGTTTGAGGGTTCAGGTGCATATTTGTCTCAGAAGTATTGTGTGAGGGGCACCCAATATCCTAAACTAATAAAAAGGGCAATGCCACCCTCTAAGTATCTCAGACAGTGCAATGTTGACCTTTTTTAACAGATAGGTAACATGATTGTTAGATGGAAAATTTTGACTGGGACTTGTGTAGCTGGCATGCCACTTTGAGCTGAAGCTAGCACGAGGCAGACACATAAGCAAAAGCACATTAGCAGATGGCAGCCTCCCCTTTCTTCTTCTTTGCTGAAGAGAAAATGTAGCTCTTGATTTAGAAAACATAAACCAATAATCAAAATATACCTATGATCTTTGTTCTCGTTTACTGTGTTTACATCAAGATTGCAACTTTGAGAATTTTGGCAACTGGTTTTTCCTGGTGCTGAAACTGAGCTAGTTACACATGGCAGATGCTTTGATTCTTTTGAAGTTGGGCAACAAGCTTTTAAAAGTTGTGGAAAGAGGTCTACAGTACAAAAAGACTCAGATCCTTCAGTCTACCTCTTCTCATTTGTGTTCAACCTCACTCATCGACACCACGCACTGTCACATCTAGAAGATCTGAACTCATAGCTAGCCACCTCTTGCTCAGATTGCGTTGCTAGTAGTGTCGATGTCCTTGTGGTTGTGAATATATATTTTGATTGTTGTTTTATGTTGTGTTTCATGGCTTGATTTTCAGATCTCGTGTTGTTTTATTTTGCTGTTAATTTTTCAGATGTCTGTTGTCTCTGTGGCTCCTCCTCCTCGTTTTTGCCAATGGCTCTTTGACTATGTTTTGGATTTTTCCCCCCAAATCCGTTGATTTTTAATCCTGGTTATACCAGTATCAAACACTACTTAACGATAAGGCTCTTCAAACCAAAAGTTCTTTTTTTTTTTTTCTGGCCGCTCCTTGTTATTTTGATTGTCATTGATACTCCACAACTCTGTCGTCTCTTTATTCTGGAAATGATCTTTTGACAGATATAGCAACCCAATTGTCAAATTGTAGTCGTCTACCTGAACTAGATGTAGTATATTCGAATGTTGTTTCCGTTGTTGATTTTGTAGGAAGTCATCGGAGCTCTGAGGTGGCTTAAAGTATTCCCAATAGTCTCTGATGGAATCTGATGGTTTCTTAAAAGACAGTGACCACAAGAATGGTGGCTGCAGGGGAGGAGGAGGAGGAGGACTAGGAAAGTTTTGAGCAGGGGCACTACTCTGACATTCTTAGGAAAATTTGGTAAAGCAAGTTGTGCATTGACTAATGTTTGACTGATAAGTTGTGCCACCATCAGCTCACGAGGCATGCCAGCTACACAGATCTTAGTCAAAACTTCCCATTTAACAATCAACCTTACCCATTCTTTAAAATGGGTCAAAATTGCATCATTTCAAATACTTGGAGGGTAACATTGCCTTTTTTGTTGGTTTAGGATATTGAGTGTCCCTCATATGATACTTATGGGGCAGATATGCACCTTTACTATGGAGCCTCCATCAATCTTCCTTAGTGTGCCCCCACTTCTTGCAATGCTCAGCAGAGGTGTTCCTTTTTCTATTTATTATTAAGGCCTGAAATCCCATGTGCAACAAAGGCAGAGTTATCACGTGAGGGTTGGGAAGAAGGCTCACTTCTGAGTTTCTTTCTGCCTTCCTCTCATTTCACCATAGATAGTGATTCACGTAGTGAGGGTAAGGTTGTAGCACTCATGATACTGCTTCGAACCTCTTCAAATTCATTATTCAGCCCTAGAAGAAACTTGTAGACACGTTCATCCTCCGCCAACTTCTGGAAATAGGCCACATCAGTTGTGCACGACCTAGAGTGAATCTCATACATGTCTGTTTGTTGCCATAACATCATTAAAGAGTTAAAATAAGCGATAATAGTATATGATCCCTGCTTCAGCTCGTGAAGTTTCCCTTTGATTTCAAAGAGAAGGGCTGTATTTGAGGTAGAAGAATAACTATCTCGGATAGCTTCTCATATTTCTTGGGCTGAGGAGTAGAGCATAAAAGCACACCCAGTCTTGATCGTCATGGAGTTGATTAACCAAGACATCACTTGTTTGTTCTTGGTGACCCATGTTGAATACTTTGGATCTGCAGTAGAAGGTTTTACTGCTCCCCATAGATGTAGGCCTCCTTTCCCTGGTGATGGATGAACATGAGGAAGCTTTGGGACCATTGAAGGTAGTTGTTACCATCCAGCTTGTGGCTAGTGAACAGTGAGGAGAGAATGACTACTAGTTAATATTGTTGAGGATCCCCGGATGTGGGTTTTGGCGTTTAGGGCCGAGAGACCACCAAAATGGATCATGATGCTTTGATACCATGAAGAATTTGGCTGGTTGTTTTCTTTTTCCAGACCAATACAGATTTATTCATCAAATATGGTTTTTATCGGAGGGGCAACAAGCTTGCCACCATAGCTAAGAAATAAATCTAGGGTAAATCTACTCTGAATAGATAATTATCTATCATATTTTTTCCTAAAATAAGCAGGATAAATGCAAAGGAAATAAAAATAAATTAGAAAAAACCAAACTAAATAAATAAATAAATAACTGATAAATCTGCGCAGGAGATTGACGCCTACTGCAGAGAAGAAAAGTTGACATCTCTAACAAGTTTATATGGGACTAGCATAATTTCATATGATGTGATAACAGTTATTGTTGTGGCTTTTTTTTTTTTTTACCTTTCAAATTAGGTTGCCCCCACTGGCTTAGGGTTCTTGGTTCGCTGCTGACTGTTGTAACTAGTATTTTGCCAATTAATTCCATAGGTTACTGTAGCTGGACAATGACAGAAAAATGACAAGATAGAAACAGGAACTCTTGGCTTGACTTTTGAGAGGTCAAGCTCTCTCCCTTACAAAATGGTAATTCTTCCTTGCCATCCCTCTGCACCAAACTCTAGGAAAAAATGACCACTAGCAGCTGCACAATAATCAGGCCCTACGCATCATGGGCCTGAGAAAGCTCCTCATTCTCCTATCTTGATTTCTTAGGTGTTTAGTGCTTAAAAAATTTTATGCTGATGGCATGCTTAATACGTGCCCATTATGCCTGTCACAGTCTTTGTTCAGGAGGATTTGTGCAGAAGCATCTGCTACAGGGTTTGATATGTGTTGTAGTGATTTAATCATTTGTTTCTCTAGGTTAAGTTGCAATTGTTTGGATTAGATATCTGGGGTTGCCTTGATATGTCTTGTAATGATCTGATCATTTGTTTCTCTAGGTTAAGTTGTAATTGTTTGGATTAGATATCTGGGGTTGCGCTTGTTTAACTTTGTTGCTAAACTACATGGCGTATTTTATCTGGATTGCTCTGGACTCTGGAAATACTTCATGTTCAATTCTTTAGATTCTTCTAGGATGGCCATTTAAGTCTAAGTGGTAATGCAATGACTTCAATTTTTTTACTGGAAATATGGTGCAGATGTTTACAGATGCTGGTCAGTATGTGATCCAGTTTGGGACTACTGATCCCAACTCTAAGATTGGGCCTGCGAGAGCGGTAGATCTTTATATCTTTAAAACCTCACTGTTCACATGTGTCCTTTGCTAATGGGTCTGTTGTTCTTGATTCAGATCCAGGACTTGGAAGTCGTTCGTCCATTGACTCTGTCAGAGAGAGCTGTAGCTGTCGCTCTTGCTATATCATTGGATAATGACTACTTCTCAAGGCGTCGAGGCTTGTGAGTTCTTTGAATTTTTCTACGTGTCTACTACATTTATAAGATTCTTAAGGGTACATGTCTCCCTTATTTGGTCTGAAAATGTCCTTCTTAGATGTTCTGATAGTTTCTTACTTGCTAGTCCCTGCAACATGTACATTTATCTTTGGTTTTGTCATATTTTTCAGCGATAGGTGACTAAGAAGCATGGATTTATAAATTTTGTCAATTGCGAGGCAGGTCGCAGGATTGAACTGAGAAATAATTTGATGCATGTATCTTTTGAGGACAAAACTTACATTTAAATAAATTGATGATGGGGAACCCTTTTTACTTTTGAAAAATAAACTTTGCTTAGTTGGGCTGAAACAAAGGAAATTGGAAAAGAAAAGAACAGAAAATGACTTTTCTTTTCATGCAATGTCTATCACGTACTAATTTTCATCGATCAGACGAAATCTGCCCCTTTTTTTATTTTTTATTGCCTTATTCTTTATTCCGGATCGAAAGGCCATTTCTGTTTATATTTTCATGATCTTTCCATTTACATACCTAACAATCCAGTGAACTATTCAGGCTTAAATTTTGATGTTTAATTTTGGATGTTAGTCTCTTTTCTGGTTCTTTTTATCGTTATCTTTTAGGGGCATTGTTATGATCTCAATAATCATAACGTTATCATGTTGAACAATGCTATATTTTTTTTTCATATCCGACTTGCTTTTGTGGTTAATGGCTACTAAAATTTTACTTGTTTTGCTGTTAGGGCGCTACCCTTCATTGCCGCTGAAGAAATTTGACTTGCAGAATGTCTCATTCACTAAAAGTATAATCACCAAAACCAATCTTTGCCCGGTATGCTTTCATAATCGAAGGTGTTTTGAGCTAAACCTCAGGTTGATTTAGTTCATCTACTCAGGATTGTTGATCATGTATACTAAATCAACATGCTACTTATCTCTTCTGCTGATTCCGAAACTTATTTTGATGAGATATAGTGATGCAAATGTTTTATTTACACATGCGTTGTCAATTATGTGCGTAAATTGACTAAAATTCCAAGGAAAACATGATTTATTTGACATATTCATTTAGATTCTAGACTAAATGAACAGGGTTTTTCCCAAGTGTGTTTCATTTACTTTCCACGTGATCAGGATTTTTTTCATTGGTCGAGACCATCGGATTCAATTTGAAAATTAGTGATTCATCCCTAGTTTTTAGTCCAGAATATTGGATGTATTGAAATAAAGGTAAAACTGGTTAAAAAAACCAATATATATTTCTTTTTGAAGAAAAACCAAAGGATACATTACATAAAACAGATTAAAGTACAAGATTGAACATACAATATCACCAGTTACAACATGAAGACCAAAATTCTTTGGGTTGGGGGGGGGGGGGGAATGCGAGTGATTGATTTGTGCAGAGACAGTGCTTGAATTCTTGGATAGCAAGTTCGTTGTGATGAGCTTTTTCCTGAAGCAGTGAAAGATGGAGTGGAGAGGAGTTTATATTGTCATGATCAAAAGTTAATTATTGAATAAAATAGTGCCAGGGGTTTTCTTCGTAATGGCAATTGCTTGTATGAAATCTAAATTCCATTTTATATTTTATAATGAGCTTACAAGAGGTCCGAGGTTTTTTTTCTTCTTTTCTATTTTCTCTTCAATCCAATTTTCCCATCATTAAGGGACTAAGATGCGTAGGTAAGATATATATTCCATTCGTCAATATGTTTATTCTTGAAAAATAGAGGATACAATATGTCTAAAATATGTTCAATTTAAAAGCCAGGCATAGTTATATAGGTTTTTTTATTTGTTCAAGTATTTTAAGCTTCATTTGTATAAATCTAACTTGCTAGAATTACCAATTCTAAATATTATTATCTCTTGGATAAAGCACGTATCTTTCTAATTGAACTTCTTGAATTTAAATTGATTATATGAATTACCTTAACCAACAAAGCATTACTTAACACTAATTTTCAATTTTAGATATATATACTAATTGTCAAATGTGGGACCTAGAAATTTATATTTAAAGAGACTATTTTAACCTTCAAGGGCGTGTTACTTAACAAGTTGGAAAATTTAACATAGGACTTGTTTTAACTTTCAAAAAAGTATTAGTAAATTGACAAGTAAAGGGTAAGCATAGGACTTGTTTTAACATTCAAAAAAATGAAAAAGCATACATGCATTCATTAATTAACAAGTAACCATGTAAATTTACAAGCATGTAAATATTAGTAAATTGACAAGTAAACTGAAAATGAAATGATGAGTTTGAACTTGTTAATTATTATACCCTTACTTGTTAAATGCACATTGATATTTGTTAATTAACGATACACACTTGTTTAAACAAATAAATGATTTTAAAACTGAAATATTAAATTGATATCATATATTAAGTTTTGTATTATATAGTTACAAAGCTATTGTGGCTTTATAACCTTTTGGTGGCCAAGGGTTATTGAGTTCAAACCCTCTGACCACCTAAAAGATTTAATTGGTTGCTGATGCTAGAACTTTAGTGATCAACAACTACTTGCTAGTGATGGTGGGGCTCAAACGGCCAACAACTGGAGGGTGATTTTTTTAAAAAGAAAAAGAAAAAAAGAAAAATCAAGGTTATTATTGTCATTTTTCAAATTGGTCCTCTAGTCCTGCTAGTGATATATGAGAATGTTTCATTTCTATCCTTGAATGCTATTTTCCCTTTAAAAAATATATGGATTGTTTTTTTTTTTGGATATCTTGAATGATTTTTTTTAATAACATCTATATTTAAATAGAATATTTGATCCAATATATGACATAATGGAGATATAACAGTTGGGTAAATGGAAATCAAACTATTAAAATACAAGGTAAGTTTGTGTTTTGAAACTACTGACTTTAGGAGAGGTTCATATTAGAGAGGTTCATGTGTGTTTAAAAAAAATAGAAAGGAGGTTTCTATTAATATCACTTTAAATTTATTTTTTTTAAGGAGAATTACATTCAGTCTCACTCAATTAATTGATCCTATGAATGTTAAAAACATGTATTTTCCCGATTACTGGTAAAAAGTTCGGATTGGAAATTCAGGGGGAAAAAAAAAGAGGTTCCAATAGATACGAGATCTTTTGATTCTTTTGGGGGAAAACAACAATTTCATTAAAATAAAAAGGAATACATAATAAAAAAACGTAAATTAAACAAGGTTAATTTGGGATTTGAGTACTAAAAGCTATTACACCATAAAAACACAAGACAACAATAAAAAACCAGAACAAACCAAGCTAACATCTTAACACCACCCAAATTGATAGTAACAGAAAAGACTACATGGGTTAATGTAAGTGCTGCATCCAACTTGAGACTACTTGTTATGATAGTCGTCTCAGCTTTGAAGAAGCTCTGTTCCATTAGCTGCATTCGCCAGCATTGAAGACAGAGAATTAGTGAATCGTTGCCCATTCCTACAAGGGTGGCAAGGAGAGACACTATAAAAATGTATAGGGTTCGAAATTCTGCAGGGAAGCCCATAGTGAAATGGAGACAATGGAATATAAAGCAAGTAGGTCAAAGGCAGTAATAGCACCAAAACCAGAAGTCAAGATACTTGAACCAAACACAGACAAGAGCAATCAGCACCCATGAATTCCTCCTTGCAATGTAGAGCAACATCATGAAGAGGAAATCCAGCACATTGAAGATGGAGCTTGTGGTGTTGACCGCTTCAAAACCAACAAAGAAGAAAAACACAAGACCGGACACATTAGCTAGTACTAGCAATTTTGCATTTAGGGCCTCTAAATGACAGCCGAGGACCCTCAAAACTATCATGAAAGCCTACGGAGCTTTGTGGCTGAAGCTCTGCAAGAACCCAGATCTTTAGAGGCTTTTGAATGAGTCAGAGCTACCACTCTTTTAATGCCTTGACTAGTATGAGCCAATCTTGAGTTGGTGACATTGAGAAAGATTGTCTTTGGCTGGAAGAGAGGTAGATAAGAGACCACCTCATATTCCACTGAAATTTGGAAATCTCCTGTCGAGCCATTGTTCAACAAGATAACCGCAGAATTTTGAATGTCTTAATGATTGAGCTTCGCATTTATCTCGCTTACGTTTACAAAGATGGGAGGTATTGACATGAAAAGTGGTACTCACAAGCAGGGGCTCAACACAACAATTAGGATTGGACGCTTCCCTTACACCCTAGGAATCAGTTGGTTGAGTAGGAGAGGAATCATTATTATTATTATTATTATTATTATTATTTTTTTTTAATGATCGGGAGAAAGGATTATCCAAGTTCTCCCTCTTTCGCTTTGTCCCCAATGTCTGAAAGGGTTCTTGCATGTATTTTGGCCAGAGTCGGATTCCATTTACATTGTTCATCAATTGATATGACCTGGCGCTCTTGTCAAAAATAATACCACTAGATCGAGAACCAAGCCCTGACATGTATGTGTATTGGATGATAAAAAGACCTGGGTACTGGCAAGCTTGCTAAACATGACCAATTTCCATGCAGTTGTAACAAATTCTTCCAACTCTTACCAAAACAAGCTCTAATTAAATCATATCATCATTAGGCAATTTTAGATGATAAAAACTGTAATGCTCGCAAACTGAACTTTGATATTAAGATTTGAAATCGCAGCCCACGATTCCTAAACATGCTTTCCTTATCAAAGCGAAGGAACTGTCCTAAATGCTCAGCTAAGAAAGAGGCCATTTTCATATTGTAGTAATCTAAGGGTAAACCATGAACTTGTACCCAAACTGGAAAGGAAGAAAAATATAAAAAAGACAGAGGTTTCTCCAGCATCCAGTGAAAAAAGGATATAAAGTAGCCTTGTGTAAGCCATGGAGCATTATAAATCATAAACCTCAAATCCTCTTCTGATTGAAAATAAAAGAGAGTAATTTCCAAACTGTTGAACTACTGAGATTTGTCCCTTTAGTTTCAAATGATGCTAAACCAAAAATTCCAATTTAGATGCATATAATCTACAATTATCAATAACTCTTGCAAAAGCAAAGAGCTGACTATAGAAGACAGTCTTATCAGACCCAGCACATTAGTCATGGTAACCAAATAAAGCCAAAAGTCAGGAGAGAAAAGGTATACGCAAAGAGAGTAGAGGACCATGATAAGGTGCAGAGATCTTGAGAACAGTAAGAACAACTACTACAATCCGAGGGCAAAGATCCTACCATCGAACAGTCTGAAGCTTTGAAATTAAAAATCAGCCAGATTCCTTACCATAAGGCAAGAAAGGAGAAGAAAGGAAAGCAAAATAGAGTCCATGCTGAAACAAAGCCAATATTGCGGCGAGAGAAAGAAGAAAAACAGTGAAGGATAGCGACAATAAGCAGAAATAGAGCCAAGGCGGGTGTAGAGGAGACGACAAGAGGGGAGACCAGAGGGCTGAGGCGGCACTGAGAGTGGTGATGGCAATGGCTAAGGTTTCAGAAGAAGCCAAATACAGAGAGACCTCTCCATTCCGAGACCCAAATATCAGATGGATTTGAAGCTAAGTGCAATGAGATCTTTTGATTGGCAAACTAAAATGAATTTATGAAAAATAAAATAAAATGATTTTTGCATATTGATATTAGATGTTTTATGTTTAGGAGGAATTTTAATAAATACTCTTGAATTATATTCATTTAAATTTAAAGTTGTTAAATTTTTAAAATTTTATTGTAGTTTAGGGGTATCAATTTAATATTAATTTTTTTAAAAAAAGATAAAATTACCCTTTATTTAAATTAACATGAAAACTTTTTAACTTTATTTGTTAATTTATTTATAAAATGTTATTCATCATCCTACTTAACTTTTTTTATGTAAAGTGTTTAAATCATCTTAATACAACTATTTAATTTTTATATTATATGTTGTTAATTTACTCATAAACTATTGTTAATTACTTTACTTCACTTGTTTATTGTTAGATTATTTACATGATTTCATTATAAGAAAATGAATAATTGAAGTTGGGCAATGTACAAATAAAGTAGAGAAATTATGATGTTAATTTAAATAAGGGGTAAATTTGTCACTTCTCTTAAAAATTTAATATCAAATAAGTATTTTTGGATTGTAGTGAAATTTTAAAAATTTAGAGACTTTAAATTTAAATAAGTATGGTCCAAGAATCTTTATTGAAACTCTCCCTTATATTTATGAAAGACATGCAAAAAAAAAAAAAAGGAAGAAGGAGGAAGAGGCATGCCAAACACCATAATTAGGTTCATGTTATCTATTTCTGAAATTTTCAATATCATGTTTATATTCAGAATCTTTCACAAAAATTATCACGTATCTTAATAACGATTTGTAATATATATTTATCATTATAATTTAGTAATAATTTTATTAGCTTTTCAAAATAAAGACATAAAATTAGATAAAAACACATAAAATTATTTATTTTTATGAATAACTATTGTAGTTTTTGAATTTTATAAAACTTATTTATAAATAAGTTTATTATACAATACCTATTTATACTTTTTCCTTTTATTTTTAATATATTTAATTTTATATAAGGTAAAATGAAAATTTAAATTTTAAACTATAAGTTAATGAGTGATTTAAACCTTTAATTTATATTTAATATAATTTAAATTTTAAATAATTAAACTTGTCGCAATTTTGATCCCATCATTAATTTAGAATTAAAGTCTGTTAAATAAAACATGGTGGGCCTCACATTTTCTATCGCCTTCCTTGCTGCGACGGTTCTCTATCTCTAACTCTTTTTTGGGACTTTCCATTGGATGCTTTTTAGTACTCAAAGCCAAGTCGAGTTGTTTCTTGTTTCTTCAAGTTCTCCAATACCATTTACTGATTTTTTCAATGCAGCAGCCACAACTTATCATGAAGATTAAATTTTCATAGTTAAACCAAACTTGCTATGGCTGACTCGACCAGACGAGGAAGGTAAAAACCAAAAAAACACTTGTCTAATTGACTGATTCTTTAACTTCGGTCTTTTTACTCACCTATATCATATTGAAATTCTCATTTATGTGATGCTAGAGTATTCCCCCCTTAAATAGCAACAAAAGCATGCATCTTGTCATCAATTGATTCTTCACAACTATAAAAGTGCTTAAGGGGGGTGAATTGAGCTTAATAGAAGTTTGACAAGTAATGCATGATTAAATGACATAAGTTAGGAATGATATCACCAAATATGCTACAAGTGAGGAAGAAAAGTTTGCATGAGTATTTATCCTGGTTTAGCTCCAACTATTTGAGTCCACATCAATTTCAAAGTCACATTTGAGATTTTTTGCCACTTACTCTACTAAGATTAATTTGGGCTGTTGATTGCCTTGATACAATCTTGGACTTGAACCTTGAATTACTTCCACATGAAAAAGTAATGATATAACTCTCTTAAGTTCCACGGGTTTAAGTCTTCTATTTCAGGTTTAGAAAACAAGGACAAAACAAAGTTGTTCAAGAATGAACAACTAGTGTAAAAAATCTATCTAATAGTAGATTTACAATTATTAAAGTGCAATTACAAGAAATTAAAGTGAATGTAATTACAAAAAGTTGGTAAAGAATTGAATGTGTAAGTTTTTGCACTAACTCTCTACATCCGTCTTCATAAATGTGCATATTTATAGTTAGAAATGTTAAATGATTCGTTAGACATATTTAATTAGCCATTAAACTCATCTTTCACTTTCCCTCTGGCCTTCTATGAAAATATGGCAATGATATAGTGCTTTTTGTTGGAGATTCATACTCATGGAAAGTATGGAAATAAATGAATATTTTGCATTTAATGCTTTTCCAAAGGTAGGTAAAGGAATATTGGTAGAACCAAATGTAGTATGGGTAGAAAGAATGATTCAATTTGAATAAGAGTACAAAACTACTCAAAGATGTGTTCAAGAAGCTTATGGATGAATGAAAAAGCTAACACAACTTCTTAGAATGAAAAGGTACAAAGAATACCAAGTTTCTAAGCTAGTAGAAATGAAAACATAAAATAGAGCATCGAAATTAATATCAATACTAGTAGAGGCATATGAATACTGGTATTCTCAAGAACAATAATGAATATGTGAGCCCATAACAATATGGGTAGAGTTTGTGTAATATGGGAAGAGTTTCACATAAAAGATGTTAACTTAAATAGCTCACAGTATTGGAATTAGTGAAATAATATGAATATAGAGATACAATAGTACTAGTAGTGAATACCATATACTAGTTGTAAGTCTCCAGACTCTTCTATCCATATTTTGAGAGATTGCATTGAAACTCATAATATTTGGATTAAACTTGTGAAACTTTCAAAACTTAATACCTTCTTCTCCCTTTCTGTGTAGGAATGGATATCTTGAAATGTGAAAGTCAAGACAAGTAACCTAAATACAAGAAGTATCCCTTGGCAGAAGCTATTCGCTCAAGTTCGTTGGAACATCTGGAAGGCACACTGCAAAAGGATTTTTTTGAGGATACTATTCAGGACATTGGCATTATCTTCTCTAGTACCCAGTAAGTTGTTAATGACATGAGGCTCCAATCAAAAGTTAACCTTTTTACCCGTGAGGGGAAAAGATTTGAAACACGTTGGAGACCTCCAGACACAGGTTGGATCCGTCTTGATGTTGATGGAGTTGTCGGTTCTAATGGAGCTGCATCCTATGGCAGAATCATGCGTGATGATAGAGGTAACTGGATCAAGGGGTTCTCTAAATACCTTGGCTACCACTCCAGCACCACGGAATCCTACTATGTGGGTTTCTAATATCAACATACATTATGACTCTATGGAAGCCCTCTCACTCATTCAGCATAATCTTTCTGACAATCATCTTCTCTTTGGAACTATCAATAAAATCAAAGACCTTGTCATGAGAGACTGGATCATTACTTTTGACCACATATTTAGGGAAGCGAACAACTGTGCCGACTTTCTCGCTCACTAGACCTCTCAAGATAATTTAGATCTCATCATTTTTAATCATCCGCCGTCGCGATGTAGATCCCACCTGGAATCTAATATGTTTTGATTTGTACAATCCCCCTGCACGGGTTTCCTGTGGCCTTGTATTCAAAAAAAAAATTTTACTGGTAATAGGCAAGGTTTAAGGGAATTAACACTTAGTACCAGTAAAGATGAACTAGTACCATTGTTGTCACCCCTTATCACTATAAATTATTCTAAGTCTTTTGTAGTGGTGTAAGAGTTTTATTACTCAAATGATTATAAATATGCGAAGCTAAATATCTAATATAAGAACCTTTCAAATCAAAGAGGTTGAGGAACACAATGAAATAAGCCTTAGTAGGATTTTGGTTAGTATCAAATACAAAAATCAATGAGATATTGTGAATTAAAGGCTTAGGAATTTTCAAGAGTTCATATAAATGCTAGTAAAAGTGAGTTAATATTGGTAGTAATATAACTTAGGAACAATTGTTAGAGATAAACGCTCATAGTTCCATTTATACCTTAATTACCCATTCCTTATGCATATTTTATCATGCTAAATAAAAAATTCTCTAATTTGTTATCATCAAAACTAGGGTTCAATAATGACCTCTTCATAAACTTCAATTGACTTTGCCATAGGAAACCATCTTCCAACACCAAAGCCAGATGTAATATCATAATTTTCTCATTCTGAAACTAATAGCTAAATAAGGGTAAATTAGTAAATTAGTGAGTGATTATGATTTTAGATGACAATTTGGTGTTTTGACTCTTTGGAGTGTTGAATGAGCAAATATGAGTGAAAGGATTGCATTTCAAAGTGAAGTAGATGTGTGTGGTTAGGATTTCCTTATTGTGCCACACGTCACGGCTCAAGCTGCATGCGTTATGATGCATAGCACAAAAAAGTGGTTGATAACTACATGGAAGCTTATGGTTTTTGATGTGAAAAGAGAGCAAACATGAGGAGAAGAGGTAGAGAAGCCAAAGCTATGCTAGGGCATCAATTCTTGAAAGCTTAGGAGACAGTTCTGACTAATAGCTTACCGGGTAAGTTTTGTACTTGCCTTTAGCTTTGATTCTATCCTAATTTTTCTTAATATAAATTATAAAGAAATCAAATTAGGAAGTTTAAGGGGATTTTTTTTCTTACCCTAGGGTATTGAGAAGGTTCTCAAGAGTTAAATTTAGGTGTTACAACTAGTTTAGAGTTAAATGATAAAGTTTTAAAGTTGTAAGCTTAAATTATCTCTTAATTAGAGGAAAATGAGAATGAAGTTGTGAAGGACGTGTGCTGGGATTAATAAAAGTGGTAGAAAGGGATGATTGGATTGTAGTGAATTTAAATTGACTAAGTAAAAGGAAAAGGAATAGCTGAATGTGATTTTAAATAATAATTAGTACTTGTGGTCATTTTGATTAATTGACTAATAGTGCTAATTGTGTATAAATTGTCATATGGCAAGTATACTTTAAGTATAGAAGACATAGGAATGTTAATTATTGAGAAATCTATGAGTACCCTGTTCTTAAGATAGAAAGGTTGAGGTAATGAAATAACTTTCTCCACATATTATCTATTAAAACTGTTTGTAAGCATTATAATTATTACATGAAATTACTTTGGATTGTGCATGTTTTGAGAAAATAAATGTTTATTGCATGTAAAGGTTTTCAAAGAAAGGAGTTTGCAAAAAATATATGATTAGATAACTATATATATAGATTTGAATATAAATCACTTGTCGTATGTGAGCATGATCATAGGGGCGGGAGTTCACCCATAAGGAGAAGTAATAAGAAACCCATATGGCATCATTCTCCTTAGTGCCTAATGGGGTGTGGTGTTAAAGAATTTCATCTTTTTAGTATCTATTGAGGTGCAGTGTTGGAGATTATTTTCTTAGTGCCCATGTGAGGTGCGATGTTAGAGATTAGAGCTCCTTAGCATTTATGAGATGCAGTATTGGAGTAATGACACCCTGATCATTGTGTGTGATAGAGGAAAACTATAGTCCAAAAGTGGGACAGAACATTTTTGGTTAGGTGATTCTACTATTAAAGGTGTGCTTAGGTCAAAGAGTGTGTGTTAGCCTAATAAGAGCCTATAGTTTTAGTCAAGGTGATACAGAGGTTCAGATGATAGTTGATCATATTAGTACTGATAATTTATGGTGAAAAAAGTTTTATGAAGTGAAAATTATATTATATGCTTTATTTGATTATGTATATGCAATACTTGTTTACAATTACTTGTGATATTTAGTAGTAGCAAGCTATTCTGTTAATGAGATTGTTATCTCACTTTATGGTTATATTTTTACAGGTTAGAGTAGTGAGTCAGGCAAAGGGAAAGACTTAGGGTGGCGTAGTAAAAATTAAGAACTTGTGTAATGAATTTGATTTTATTATACGTTATAAATGAATAAGTTGACCTAAGATGCATAAGCATGTTTTAGATTGTGATAAGTAGTGATTATGTGGTGATTTTAAGAATCTTAATGTAGTGTGAGTGAAAATGTGTTACATGTGATATGGGGCTAAAATTTTTTTATGAATGTGTTGTGAATGTAAAAGTGATGAATTTTGTGGTAAATTTGGCCAAGATAGTGTTATTGTGTAAAGTTTGTGAAAAATAGCCCCTATTGTGTAAATGGGTGATTCGATGGTCAAATCTTGATATGTGCGTGTGTGATGATATTATTTGACAATCAAGTGTAAATGGTCCTTTTGGACTTGGTTCTAAGCCTAAATAGCCTAATGGGACAAAATATGTGTTTTGAACACTTTAATGCTTGAAATTTTTAAGAAAAGTTACTTTTTTCATTTGAGTATCTAAATTTAGAACAGACTGTTGGATCATATCTAAACTTATCTCATTAGTTTGCTTATGAAATAAGCTTTGTGTGGGCACTTGAGTCAATCTGATCGGACATCGTATGTGAAAGCGACACATGTCGGAAGTTCACTTTAGGGAATTGTCATGGTGCCCCATGCCAGGCTCATGGCACAGATAGGGAGCCCGTGGTTTTATGCCACATGCTGCGGTGCATATATTGCATGCTATAGCACAGGCCCCCTTTATTGAGTATAATTATTTGATCTTGAATCATGTGATGTGAGTTATGAATGCAAGAAATTATCTTTCACTATACATTGCTTTGATATGTGACTGATTTCAAATGGTTTTAACAAAGAAGTCTTTAGTTCCCAAGCATTTTAAATTGAATGTTTTCATTAATTGTGTATTATATGGTGTGGTGGTTTTGTTAATCCCTCCTAATGCTAGTTCAGTATTGAGATGATAGTTTGGTGTTGGGAGTGATTACACTAGACCCTTACTCTTTTTTCTCCTTTGTGTCACTTTGCCCAAACCTACCATCTGCAGTTTGCCTTCAAAGGTCCTCCCTTCATCCCTCCCTCCTTCCTTGAATTTATGTTTGCATCTCATAATTAAATGCAATTAATGAATAATGATGCTAGACTTTTTGAGGATTCTAAATTATGTTTTTTCATTTCTTGAATCCTAATCAACTGGTTGCATCACTTGAAAAGCAATTTGAATATCCTGCTTCTTGTTCAAAAAGTAATGTCTACCTTAACATTAATAGGACATATCACATAATACCATTATGATAACTGGGAATAAGTAATTCCTTATATTAAGTTACTATAATACAAGGGTTTAAAACCAAGTTCAAAAGTTGGAATCCCAATAAACCCTTTTGAAAGGATGTTGGAGCTTAAACAAGAGTTTAAAACATACCAAAAGAAGGAATGAAAGCATGAAAAACATGAATCATCATATACAAAGATCAAATGAGGGCCAATTAGATTTTTCCCCAGTTGCCTTGTCTGTCATGGCGCATGTGTTATCTACCATAGGATGGCACAGAGGGGAAGCCTATTCGTTGTACAGTGCATCGTAGCGCATTATTGCTGTTATGACAGCACTTTCAGACCAACTTCCAAAGTGCATTGATTTTCCATCCGATGTTTAATTCGAGCAATTCAAATGTCCACATGTAGCTTTTTGAGCCATCTACATATAGGCATTAGTTTTCACCACAAAATTCTTTATCATTAAAAAGTTAGACACCTAAGCTTAAAATGAACCTTTTTCCTTTTAAAACTCACCTTAAGGTAGGGGTTGTTCACTAGAGGGGATAAGACCGAAAAGATTGGGATTGCATTTTTGTCTTGTCTCTTGTCGCATCTTGATAAATCAGGAATCAGGATGGGACTAGGATGAGATTGGGATGTCCTGTCATTTTGATAAATCAGACAATGTTAAAGAAAGATCTGGATAATAACATTCATTAAAATTTTAAATCATATAATTTATGAAGTTTAAAATTAAAATAACATAAGCACATAAATCACAATAATTTAAAGTCACTTATTGAATCACATTATGATAACAATTACAAGTGATTTTTAGGCTATAAGAGTAACAACAATAGGCAAGCCAAGCATAACATTAAATTATTGTCCTTCTATTTTAGTTGAGATGTGCTAAGCTAGAACAAGAAATATGATATAAATAAAAGTTATTAAATAAATATATATAAGAATAAATTATATTAATATGATTAATCTATTATAAAGAAAGATATCACTTTGTTTACTTTATGTTATTAAAATTATCAATATAAAAAAACTTTAGTTTTATATAAGAACTATAAGTACTGAAATTATAATTGATATAATTAATAAAAGCATAAATTGTATTAATATAATTAATATATTTAATTTATATTTTTAAAATAAAAATAATATATAAAATATTCGAGACCCGTCTTATCTCGAAACCCTTTTCT